TTTTTTTTTTTGCAGTTTTTGGCCAGTGCTGTGTTTGAACCCACTACCTCCGGTATATGGGGCCAACACCCTACTCCTCTTAGCCACAGGTGCTGCCCCATAATGAGGCAATTTTCATAAGACCTCTTCAAGGCAGAAGATGACAAGACACTGAGGCAGAGAAAAGTAAACTCCTTGCCTAGGCAGAGCTGGGTTTACACTTGTCTCCTTCAACTTCCTCTTTTATTACTATACTCCCAGATGAGTCTTTTCTTTCTCTTAGAATGTCAGTCTTATAATCTTAACTTTGCAAGGTGCTGTTCATGAGAATAAATTAAATAGCAGGAAGAAAATGCCCTACACAGAACTGGGCCCACAGTCAGTTCTCAATAAGCACTAGAGCCTACTGCTGTATTGTCAAGTTCAAGGTCTTACAGAAAGCCTTGAATTTCTGTGAGATTTGCCTTCCTTGTTTGGGTCACTAGAGAGATGACTGCTAGCTCCCAGCCTCCCTTGCCCCATCACTAAGTCAGGTGAGTTTAATATTAATTAAACAGCCCTCAGTAAGTGACAGCCTTATAATCCCACTTTCTCTCTCTGGGAGGCCTGAGAAACTTCTCTACAGTGCCCTCAACCCCAGGCTCCCGGCATCAAGGACAACCAAGAGTATGCAGTCCCCTCTGATCTCATAATGTGTGCCCCACTCCCTGCCTCCCTAATGTGTGTTGCTTTCAGATGTGGACTCAAGGGAGACCTGGCTGCTAACTCAAGCTTGCCTTGGTACACTGGGCAATCCTCAAACCTTCAGAGCCTGGGTTCTGCCAGTTGGGAAATAGGAAAAGTGGTATCCCCAGACAGACTGTTACACAGTGACACAGGGACTCATGGGCTGCCCATTCCTACCTGCAGGATGTTGTGTGTGGGCTTCTGGAGACCATCTGCAGAGACTTTAGGCACCATCTTTACAATGTTGCTCAGATCAACCCCTGTAGGGAGGGTGGGGGGGGTAATCACAAAATAAGCAACAAGTTGTCATCCCTGTGGGCTTTTGATGTCAAAACTCATGTCCCTTCTGCTAGGAACAGCCCATTCCAAAAGCCTTTCTGGTTGTGTATTTTCGATAGTCTTGCTCTGCTTCTGGGGCTAGAGTGCAAAGGCAATGGCATCATTATAGTTCACTGTAACCTTCAACCTGGGGCTCAAGTGATCCTCCTGCCTCAGTCTCCTGAGTAGTTAGGACTACAGGTGTGTGCCACCCTGCTCCTGCTTAGGCTGGTCTCAAACTCCTGGTCTCAAGCGATCCTCTTGCGTTGGCCTCCCAGAGTGCTAGGATTACAGGTATGAAGTACTGTGCCTGGCCCCACTCTAAATGTCTTTTGAGTATCTTCCCAGTTTTGCAACCTACCCTACCCCTTCCAATGTCCAATGGCAGGCCCAGCAGCCACGTCCACACAGGGTGGATGGGAAGGGTGGGGGATGCTTTTGCCTCTGGGCTCCAGGACAACCAGGGAAGTAGAGTGCTAGTGAGGCCATCACCAAGCAAAGCTGCATTATCATATGCTACATCTGAATAGTGAGGAGGATGTTCAGCCTGATGGGCTGAGAGAAGGGAGGGGACCCTGCAGCTTTTTCCCTTGGGGCTTTATACCTCTTGGCCCCGGCTGCATTCTTGCCCCTGCTGGGACCCTCATTGGAGGCCCCTACTATGCTAGACACTTCTGGTCACCCTACCAGCCCTGTCCAGGGTCTATACTCCATTCTGTGCCTGGAAGGCTAGGCCCTGACTTTTGGAGCCGGAACCCTGGGTCCCTTGCCCTCTGGTTATTGAGCTTTTCCAGTGGGGAGCTAGACTCAAGATTAGGGATGGGGTGTGCAGGTGTCAATTCCTTGCTCCTTGCCTCTACTTGACAGTCTCCTTTCCCACAGTTTCCACTCTTTGCTGTGGCTGGCAGGGGTCCTTGACCCTGTATACACCATTGCAAACAGTCCCCTCATGACTACTCTTCTCCATGTTCTGGTGTAGAACCTATTTCCATAGGCTGGTGACTGATACCCTCTTTTGTCTCTGTAAGCTCAAGCTGGGGTGCAGGTAGGGCAGGGAGGCAGGCAGCACTGCTTCTGAGGCAAGATTCAGGGAAAGTTTCTCCAAGGAAAGCACAATTAAAATGAGACCTATAGGAAGGACCCAGCCCCATACATATCTGGGTGAGATGATGGAAAGGAAAGGCTGGGCATGAGATGGGGGCAGGGTGGCAGGCCTGGCTGGGGCAAACTGGGGAGGGTATGAGGCTCAGTAGGCATGAAGTTACCATGCCAGGCATGATGGGGCTGAGGCAGGCCCCACTGGGCAGGGAGGGACCCCTCACTCTTGCATCTGAGAGGTAGGGATGGCCAGTAACAATCATACCACCCTACCCTGTGATTCAAACTGCTCCACAGCTTCTTTTACTGCCTCTTCTGGCCCTATCGAAAACTCCTCAATGTTCTCCTGCACAGCTGCATCGAATGTCTCCTGAGTGATGCACTTGGAGGCCATCTTCTCCTGCAGAGATGTCGATGTGTAGCTGACAGATGCACCTGAGCTGAGAAGTTAGGGCAAGAAGAAAGCTTCATCAAGAGTGGGTAGACAGGCTGGGCTCAGTGGCTCAGGTCTACAATCCCAGCTCAGCACTCTGGGAGGCAGAGGTGGGAAGATTACTTGAACTCAGGAGTTCCAGACCAGAAAAACAGAAAAAGTAGCTGGACATAGTAGTGGGTGTCTCTAACCTCAGCTACAAAAGAGGCTGAAGCAAAGGGACTGCTTGAATCTAGGACTTTGAGGTTGCTGTGAGCTATGTTGATGCCACAGCACTCTGGCCTAGGCAAGAGAGTAAGACTGTCTCAAGAATAAAATGTTTATTTTTTTCAAACTCCCGCGCTCAAGAGATCCTCCCGCCTTGAGCTCCCAGAGTGGTAGGATTATAGGCGTGAGCCACTGTGCCCAGCCCAGCAACTGTTAACATTTGGCTAAATTTATCAATGGGTGAGTATGTATATATGCATGTACAAGTTTGAGCATGGTGTAAAGACATCTTCATGAATCTCCCATGAAAAGGACATTCTCTTACACAATCACAACATGAATAAAATTTAACACAGAGACAATACTATTTTCTAATATATGGTCTATAATCAACTCTCTCATTTGTCTTAATAATTACTGTCCTTTAGGTCAGGGGTGGTGGCTCATGCCTATAATCCTAGCACTCAGGGAGGCTGAGGCAGGTGGATTGCCTCAACTCAGGAGTTCAAGATCAGTGTGAGCAAGAGTGAGACCCTGTCTCTAAAAAATACCTGGGTATGGTGATGGGCGCCTCCAGTCCCAGCTACTTGGGAGGCTGAGACAAGAGGATTGCTTGAAGTTGGGCGCCTCTAGTTCAGTGGTTAGGGCGCTGGCCACATGCTCCGGGGCTGGTGGGTTCAAACCTGGCCTGAGCCTGCTAAACAAACAAACAAAATAGCCAGGCACCTGTAGTCCCAGCTTCTTGGGAGGCTGAGGCAAGAGAATCGCTTGAGCCCAAGAGCTTGAAGTTGCTGTGAGCTATGACACCATGGCACTCTACCAAAAGTGACAAAGTGAGACTTTGACTCAAATAAAAAAAAAAGAGGACTGCTTGAGCCTAAGAGTTTGAGGTTCCTGTGAGCTATGATGCTGGCAACAAAGGGAGATTCTGTCTCAAAAAAAAAAAAAATGCTGTCCTTTAAAATGTATTTTTCCCCCTCGTCCTGGATCCATTCTAGAATCACATGTCACATAAAAGTGTGCTGGAGTGTCCTAGGGCAGCAGGACAGTGGTACAAAGATCTGGCAAAAATCCCAGTGGGAGGCTGAGGTAGGAGGATCACTTGAGCCCAGAAGTTTGAGGCTGCAGTGTGCAATGACTGCACCCGTGAATAGTCATTGCACTCCAGCCTAGGCTATAACATGGTGATACCCTGTCTCTAGCAAAATTTAAAAATTAAAAATAATAAAAATTTTATAGTCTCATAGTAAATTTGGGCCATGTGGAAAACACGGTACTCTGGCTCACACTTCTCTTTGTGGGAGGTGGCACAGAATGTGAGCACTCCATCTGTGTCTCTGCATACACTCACCATGCACTGAACTGCACACTGTCCTGGGGGAGGACTGGCTCCCTAGTCAGCTGGCAAAACTCAAATCCCAGGCCCTCTACTGTTCTTCAATTCTCACATGTGGGAAATGGGGATAAACACAGAACAGTAGTGAAAATTCAACCAACAACTTTAAAGCCCTTAGAATAGGATTTGGCACAGAGTAGAGGTTCAGTAAACATTAGCTCTTTGTTCCTTTCCCTTATTGCCTAAAAGGTAATTCAGTAATACCACTGTTACAGCCTTATCAAATTCATTGCAAAGAACCCACTGCTCAGATGAAGCCAATACACCAAGATAGCATGAGTTACAGCAGAGAAAGAGTATAATGTTACAGGCACCAAGGAAAGAGACAGAAAGAAGTTCTCAAATCTGTCTCTCCAAGAATTTGGGAGAAAGAAAGATTTTTTTTTTTTTTTTTT